AGGGTTCAAAGGTTTGCTCTGCCACTTGCTGATATAGAATTTGGGAGGGAACAAAAAGGCAGTGACCTAAAACAGCCCTCCCAATCCTAAAATTTGTCAATGGTGAGATTATAGATTTGAAATAAAATTAAAATATCCACACTTTCTACACCAAATCCCACTTTTCTTGGGTCTGTGATGTTTAGAAACTCCAAAGCCAATGATATTTAAAATTTAAATCTTTTATTTCATTTTAAAAATTATACAAAGTGTTCATCGTATTTCTTCCAGAGTCACACCTCATTTTTGGTCCCAAATTATATTAATATACCCACAATTTCCCACCATTTTCACCAACGTTGATTCCAAAAATCTTTTTATTGTTTTTAAAACTCACATTTATCTTGCAAGTAAGAATGTTTGTTACTATTGAGTATATCAAATGACTGTACCTTAGGTTCTAAAAGTATTTCCTCCCAAAATGTTTTAAGTCAAGATGGCGGAATCAGAAGAATATAAACTTAAGTCTCAGATTAGAGTTTGAGCAACCACAGGCTTTGCCCACAGCTCACGTCAGTTACCCATGCTGGGCAAATTCTCTAGTTTTCTAATCTTTGAAATGAAGATAACAATGCTTACCTCCTACAAATACTGGTAGATTAGAAAGTATAAAGCACTGATAACAGAGTCTAGCACATGGTAGGCCTTCAAAAAATTAGAACAGAAGAGAAATGGCAATATGATTGTCCTAGGAGTGCAGCCACCTAATGTAACCTCTTTAAAGAAAAAAGAAAAATATTTGTTTTGATGTGTAAATTGGGGTGTTTCAGGGCATCTGTTTTATGTCCCTATGGTAAAATCGACTCTCAACTATTGACACATTCTTAGATGGTTATTTCCTAAGAGACCCTTCCATTTCTAGTTCATATATTAATTCAATTATCCAACAACACTTAAGTATACTCATCATTGCAATTTATTTGGATTGTCCTCAAGTAATGAGCTTCCTTTAGTGTTGCCAAGTTGGCATACTCCCTCTTCTCCCAGCCAGAACTCCTGAAAACAACTGCAAGGCTAGATAGGTGCTCTGACCATAAGAGATACAAATCGCTGTAGTGTAAAACTCCATTTGAGCTATGCCTGAGATGTGCTATGGATGGACAGTGTGGCCTTTTCCTTTCCTCTGAAGTTCGTGGCCTTGGCACTGCTCATCCCTAATTCTGGGGATAGTAATGAAGTTGGAAGCTCTTCTCCTAGAGGTTTCTTGTTTCTGTGGTTGCCGGCTTCCCTGTGTCCTATCTCCTTGATTCCAGGAGCTGTTGAGGAGCTGCTGCCTGCCCTGCCCTTAGCCCTGTGCTTGTCCTATCCTCCCTGGGTGACAGACAGCCTTCCCCTTCCCCAGAGTGGGGTCTTTATGTGATTTTCTCTCTCACATTCACCATTATCTTCATGATCACCATTGCTCCTTTGCTGATCAGATAGTCACACCTGGCCTCCCTTGGGCTTACTGAATGCCCATTGCCCCTCTTCCTGGCACACATCAATGTCCTGTTACCCATTGGTTGACTAGCTGCTACAGTTTATGACCTAACTTTCTAAGGGATGTGAGTGTGGTAGATGCAAAAGTTTTAAAGAGCAAAAATGTGATAAAATAATGAGTTTGGTCTAGAGAGAATGAAGCAGATTTCACAATGGAGCTAAGATTTGATGGATGAACAAGAATACCACAAAGAGGGAAGGAATGCAATTTCAGGCAGAAAGAATGAAAAAATCAAAGGCACAAAAAGCATGAAAATCCATAGGGTCAGGAAAGCATGTCCACTGTGAGCAACATGTAGAATGTGTAGTGGAGAATAACCAGAGATGAACTGGGAAGGGAATTTGGAGCCAAACCATATAAGCCAGTCTATGAAGCTCACATTTAGAGTGTTGGCAATAAGAAGTCACCAAAAATGTTAGACGTGGTAGTGACATGATAGAGTTGCACTGTAAAGATGAATGCTTTAGCACTGTGGGGGGCAGTGAAAAGGAAGAGAGTCTAGAGATAGGGAAATTAGTCAAGAATTATTTGAGAGATGCAAGCTCTAAGAAAGAGCTTGAAGTATGGGTGGCAAGGGAAAAAGAGGAGGCAATTGAATCAAGAGACATTTCAAAGGAGAAAGTAGAAAGTTATAGGATGAGAAGACTAATTGAGATTGAAAATAGATAGAAGCCAAAGATAATTCTGAGATGACATTTTTAATTCCTGTGTTCTCTCATAACAGATAGATAATATATATTTGTAGATAGGTAGAAGATATATCTATCTATATCTTCTATATCTATATGTCTATGTCTATATAGATATAGAGATCTTCATCTTACCTTCACCAGTACCCTTTTTAAAAACCTGAACACCTGCATATAATATATTACCATGATGATAAAGCGCACAGTACTTGCACAATAGACTAGAAGAGCTTCAGGGAACTCCTCATTTTCTCAGAAGAGCTTGGGCATCTGGAATAAGTTACAGGGAGGTTATGGAATTTTCTTCCCTGGAGGTCTTTTACAACAAGCTAGATACCCATCTGTCCATGATGGCTTAGGTGTGGTCCTCTCTGAAGCCTGGGAGGTGACCTATTGAGTTCTTGTGATCTCTTCCAGACCTACAATTCTATGCTTCTACATCATTTTATGGCTTAACCCCAAGGTATATTATTCATTTGATAAAATAAATAATAAGATGAAACTGGGAATTTTTTATGGACACTGTCATGGAATATATTTTGGAAATTCTTACAATTAACTAGTGAGTTCACTAAATAAATTATGGATAATGTTATGGGTCGGCATTTCCCAAAGTGTGTTTGATGTTGTAGTTTCCCAAACTAGTGCTGCCGTACTCTTTCTCCAAAAAATGGGAAAAGATGGAAATTCACAGCGTTTATTAGTATGTCAAAGCCTTGAGATGTTCTATAGGAAAGAAGCTTTTCCAATTTTCACCTAGGGTGACTTCAAACTTTTAGAAGTAAAAAAAAAAAAAAAAAAAAAAAGGAGAGAGATGTATCTTTATCTACATATGGCTATCAATATCTATCTGTAATCTATCTACTTTTTAACTTCCTTTGAGAATGGAGTTTCATAAAACCCATGTTACTAAATATTATTTTGACCTATTCTTCCTACCATAAGAAAAGTTGGGGGGAGGGTATATGACCAGTAACATCTAAGCTTGTCCAAGGATGATCTTTGGTTATCTAGTAATTGAGTTATCTTAAAATTATAGTTTGCTTCCCTATAAAGTGGGGATAATAACACCGATCTCATAAGGTTGTTAAGAGGGTTAAATAAAATAAAATGTGTAAAGCACCTGGCACAGGGCCTGCTACCTGGTAAATGCTCCATAAATGTTAGCTTTCTACCCTCTGTTTATCCATTAAGGTGTGGTATCTGGTACAGCTTACAAATAAATTAAATAGTTCCGGTGCAGTCAAGTGATCATCCCTCAGTAGTCACAACTATCCAGAGCTGGGTGTGTATATGCACAAGGATCACTATCCAAAAGTAAGAATATTTCTAAAAGTGGTGGGATTGTGGGAGCTTTGGTTTATTTTTTAAAACTTCATGAGCTTTATTTTTTAGAGCAGTTTTAGGTTCACAAAAAAACAGTATAGATTTCCCAGTCACCCCCTTCCCCACCCACATACAGCCTCCCTTACCATCAACATTCTGCACCACAATGGTACATTTGTTACAATCAAAGGACCAATAGTGACACATTATTATCAATCAAAATCCATAGTTTACATTCAGATTCACTGGTTGTGTCATACATTCTATAGGTTTTGATAAGTGTATAATGACATACATCCACCCTTACAGTATCACACAGAGTAGTTCCACTGCCATAAAAATTGCCTGTGTGGCAGTAACTTCTTGCAAGATACATCCACGAAAACAAAAGAAACAAAAGCAAAAATGAACTATTGGGACTTCATCAAGATAAGAAGCTTTTGCACAGCAAAGGATACAGTCAACAAAACTCAAAGACAACCTACAGAATGGGAGAAGATATTTGCAAATAACATATCAGATAAAGGGCTAGTTTCCAAAATCTATAAAGAACTTATTAAACTCAACACCAAAGAAACAAACAATCCAATCATGAAATGGGCAAAAGACATGAAGAGAAATCTCACAGAGGAAGACATAGACATGGCCAACATGCACATGAGAAAATGCTCTGCATCACTTGCCATCAAGGAAATACAAATCAAAACCACAATGAGATACCACCTCACACCAGTGAGAATGGGGAAAATTAATAAGGCAGGAAACAACAAATGTTGGAGAGGATGCGGAGAAAAGGGAACCCTCTTACACTGTTGGTGGGAATGTGAACTGGTGCAGCCACTCTGGAAAACTGTGTGGAGGTTCCTCAAAGAATTAAAAATAGACCTGCCCTACGACCCAGCAATTGCACTGTTAGGGATTTACCCCGAAGATTCAGATGCAATGAAACGCCGGGGCACCTGCACCCCGATGTTTCTAGCAGCCATGTCCACAATAGCCAAACTGTGGAAGGAGCCTCGGTGCCCATCGAAAGATGAATGGATAAAGAAGATGTGGTTTATGTATACAATGGAATATTACTCAGCCATTAGAAACAACAAATACCCACCATTTGCTTCAACGTGGATGGAACTGGAGGGTATTATGCTGAGTGAAGTAAGTCAATCGGAGAAGGACAAACAGTGTATGTTCTCACTCATTTGGGGAATATGAATAATAGTGAAGGGGAATATAAGGGAAGGGAGAAGAAATGTGTGGGAGATATCAGAAAGGGACACAGAACATAAAGACTTCTAACTCTGGGAAATGAACTAGGGGTGGTGGAAGGGGAGGAGGGCGGGGGGTGGGGGTGAATGGGTGACGGGCACGGAGGGGGACACTTGACGGGATGAGCACTGGGTGTTATTCTGTATGTTGGTAAATTGAACACCAATAAAAATTAATTTATAAAAAAAAAAAAAATTGCCTGTGTGGGATACTTGGGTGGTTCAGTGGTTAAGTGTCTGCCTTCAGCTCAAGGAGTGATCCCGGGGTCCTGGGACTGAGTCCAGTAGCAGGCTGCCCGCAGGAAGCCTGCTTCTCCCTCTGCCAATGTCTCTTCCTTTCTCTGTGTGTCTTAAATAAATAAATAAATAAATAAATAAATAAATAAATAAAATCTGGAAAAAAAAATTCCCAGTGCTCCACCTATTCATCCTTCCATTCTCCCAAGCCCCAGGCAGCCACTGGTCTTTCTGCATAATGTAGTATGTAACCTTTTCAAATTGGCTTCCTTCATTTAGTAAGATCTTAGCCCCACTTTTAAAGGCCTTCTGGATGGGGATCCCTGAGTGGCACAGTGGTTTGGCGCCTGCCTTTGGCCCAGGGCGCGATCCTGGAGACCCCATATCGGGCTCCTGGTGCATGGAGCCTGCTTCTCCCTCTGCCATGTGTCTCTGCCTCTTTCTCTCTCTCTCTGTGACTATCATAAATAAATAAATTGAAAAAAATAAATAAATAAAGGCCTTCTGGATGATTAAATCAAACCCATCCAAGATAATCTCCTTTTTGATTAACATAAAGTCAACCAGTTAGGGATTTATACACATCTACCTTTAAGTTTCTCCTATGTCTTTTTTTAAACAGTCTTACTAGAATAGTTCTTTTAAATGTAAGAAAACAAGTTGAAAATTGACAAGCAAATAGAAGAAATGAGCCAAGGAAAAATAAAAAATGGATATCGTGGGGCGCCTGGGTGGCTCAGTCACTTAAGCATCTGCCTTCAGCTAAGGTCATGATCCCAGTGTCCTGGGATCAAGCCTGCATCAGGCTCCCTTCTCAGCAGGGAGTCTGCTTCTCCTGCTGCTTGCTACTCCCCCTGCTTGTGCTCTCTCTCTGTCAAATAAATAAATAAATGAAATCTTTAAAAAAAAAATGGATATCATGAGTTAAAGATCCTGTGCTAGAGCAGCCCAGCCATACCTGCTTCAAATTTCCCCATATTGCTAAGTCCCATCTCCTGGCAGACAATTTCAAGTTGTCCTACTCTGTAGTTTCCTACCTGGCTGCTCTCCCTGGGCTTCTGCCTTTCTCTTCCATGATCTCAAACACCTTTTTTCAAGGTTCCCTATGGTCCTAGGACAGAGTAATCCTAGAGAATGAAAAACAAAAACAAAAACAAAAAAACAACAACAAGAAATAGCCCCTGTTTATTTAGCACTTACTATGTGTCAGGCACTGTAGTTCTAAGCATTCTACATATATTATTTCATTTAATCTTCGTATCAGTGCAGTGAGGTAGGTATATGGCTCTGCAGTTTGAAGATTGCAAGCTGAACCTAAGAGCACACAGGCAAGAACTGTCAGAACCAGGATTCAAATCCATGATGGGCTGTTTCAAATCCTTTATAAAATCACTACTTTATGCTCCAAATGGTAACCTCAGTGTCACAGATCAGTGATTCCCAAATGTTAATCCTACCCTTAATGATGAAGTTTTCACTATTATGAACTGTCCTGATTGTTTCTTGTTGGGCAATCACACTCCAGTATCCCAGGTGTGAGAGTCGCCAAAGGAGGGAACAGCTTCTATCTTCTCCCTGAAGTGCTCACCACTGTGTTCCTGACCTACCTCTCCCACAGGGTTTTCAAACCCTCAAGAGAAAAAAAAAAAAAAAAAAAAGGAGGAAGCTTGTGGGCTTCACAGTTGTACTTCTTAGGGCAAAAACTGACTATCCTAAATTGAGCAAGATGGCAGTAAGTTGGCTTCCAATTTTTATGTGAAATTTGACTTATGATAAAAACTTTTAATTAAAAAAAAGGAGCAAAGACAAGATTGTGATAATAAAACAAAGTACCACACCAAGATGGACATCAAGCTCTACCTATGGTATTCTGACAAACACAGGGCCTACAATACAATGTCACACAAATGTAACATAAAACAAAATTTTAGAGGTGCCTGAGTGGCTCAGTTGATTAGACAACTGACTTGATTTTGGATCAGGTCATGATCTCAAGGTCATCAGATTGAGCCCTGCATCAGGCTTCATGCTCAGTGGGGAGTCTCCTTGAGATTCTCTCTCTCCTTCTGCCTCCCCCTATACATACCACATGTGCTATAAATAAAATCTTTAAAAAAAGTTTAGGTTGTAATTTTCAAAATTTGGATTTTTAAATAAATATCTTTTGAAAAATAAGCTTTCCAAGGTTTAATTTCAGTAAAATTCACTGACTTTAACTTAACAGTTCAGAATTTTGATGAATGTAAGCAGTCATACTTACACATGGTAGCCTGGTACCACAATCAAGATAAAGAACATTTCCATCAGACCAAAAGTCCCCTCTCTTTCTGCACCTTTCCACTTAAGCCCCTCTCATTACCTTTGGCCCCAGGCAACCACTGATCAGCTTTTCATCCCTATAGTTTTTCCCTTTGTATAATTTCATATAAATGAATTTGTATAGTATATACTACTTTGTGAAAGGCTTCTTTTTTTTTTTTGAAAGGCTTCTTTCACTGAGCATAGTGCTTTTGAAATTCATGCATGCTGTTGCATGTATCAGTAGTTTGTTCCTTTTTACTACTATATGTTGTTTCGTTACATAGACATACCACATGTATTTACTTACCTATTAATGAATATTGAGTAGTTTTCTATTTGAGGTTTTAATGAAAAAAGCTGCTATGAATATTTACACATAAGCCTTTGTAGGGTACCTATGTTTTCATTTTTCTTGGGTAGATGATTATAAGTGTAATTCCAAAGTCATATGGTTAATCTGAATTTAACTTTATAAGAAACTGTCTAAATGTTTTACAGAGTGGTTGCAAAGTTTTGCATTCTCACCATAATGTATGAGAGTTCCAGTTGCTCAGCATACTTGTCAATACTTGGTATTATCAGTCTTTTAATTGGAGCCATTCAATTGATTAGGTAGTAGAAGCTCATGGTAATTTTAATGTAAAATTCCTTGATGACTCTTAATATTGAATATGTACTTATTTGTGTTCATGTATCTTCATTGTGAAATGTCTTTTAAAATCTTTTGCTCATTTTTTGACTGGATTGTTTATGTTCTTGCTTATTGAGCTGTAAAGTTTCTTTATATATTGTGAGTACAAATTCTTTATCAAATATATCTGCAAATACTGTCTTCCACTGCGTGGCGCCTCTTTTATTTACTTAACAATGTCTATTGAAGAGCAAAATGATTCATTCTAATGTCCAATTTATGAAGTTTTCTTTCATGGTTCATGCTATTTTGTGTCCTATATATAGTTTTTGGGTTTTTTTACTAACTCAAAGTTACAAAAATTTTCTCCTATGTCTTCTTCTAGAAATTTTATGGTTTTAGTTCTTATGTTTAGGTCTTTAATCCTTTGAGAGTTATATATATGTGATGTGAGGTAAAGTTTCTAAGTTAATATTTTCCATATAAATATCTGATTGTTTTGGCACCTTTTGTTAAAAAAAAACTATCTGCATTGAATTATCTTAGCCCTTTCATTGAACATCAATTGACCATTTATATGCCATCTATTTCTGAGCTCCCTATTCTATTACATTGATCTATATGTCTATATCACACTATCTTAATCTCTGTAGCATCACAGTAAAACTTGAAATCAGATAATATAAATCCTTCAACTTTTTTCCTACCTTTTCAAGAGTGTTTAGATTGCTTTAGGTACCTTGAGTTCTCATACAACTTTTAGAATCAGCTTCTGCCAAAAACAAGACAGGGATGTCCACTCTCACCACTGTTATTTAACATAATGCTGGATGTCCAGCCACAGCAATCAGACAGCAAAAAGAAATAAAAGGCATCCAAATCAGCAAGGAAGAAGTAAAACTTCCACTATTTGCAGATGACATGATACTCTTTATAGAAAAAAATGAGACCCTATCAAAAACCTACTAGAACTGTTAAATGAATTCAGTAAAGTGACAGGTTATAAAATCAACATAGAGACATCTGTTGCATTTCTATATACCAATATTGAAGCAGCAGAAAGAGAAATTAAGGAATTTATCCATTTACAACTGCACCAAAAACAATAAGATACCTAGAAGTGAACCTAACCAAAGAGGTGAAAGACCTATTCTCTGAAAACTATAAAACACTGATGAAAGAAATTAAAGATGACACAAAGAAATGGAAAAGCATTCCATGATCACAGATTGGAAGAACAAATATTGCTAAAATGTCTGTACTACTCAAAGAAATCTACACATTTAGTGCAATCCCTCTCAAAATACCAACAGCATTTTTCACGGAGCTAGAGCAAACAATCCTAAAATTTGTATGGAACCACAGAAGACCCCAAATAGCCAAAGCAAAGCAGGAGGCTTCAAAGTTTCAGTCTTCAAGTAGTAGTTCAAAGCTGAAATTATCAAAATGGTATGGTACTAGAACAAAAATAGCCGTATAGATCAATGGAACAGAATAGAAAACCCAGAAATGAACCCACAACAATATGGTGAATTAATCTTCAACAAAGCAGAGAAGAATATCCAGTGGGAAAAAGTCTCTTCAACAAATGGTGCTAAAATCTGGACAGCAACATGCAAAAGAATGAAACTGGACCACTTTCTTAACATCACACACAAAAATAAATTCAAAATGGATTAAGACCTAAACATGAGACCTGAAACTATAAAAATCCTAGAAGAGAACACAGGCAATAATTTCTTTTACAACAGCCATAGAGACATTTTTCTGGATACTTCAGAGGCAATGGAAACAAGCAAAAATGAACTGTTGGTACTTTATCAAAATAAAAAGCTAATGCACAGCAAAGGAAACAATCAACAAAAGAATAATGCAATCTATGGAATGGGAAAAGATATACACAAATGACATATCTGATAAAGGGTTAGTATCCAATCCAAAATATATTAAAAAAAACTCATAAAACTCAAACACCCTCAAAATGAATAACCCAATTAAAAAATGTGCAGAAGACATGGATAAACATTTTTCCAAAGAAGCCATATAGATAGCCAACAGGCACATGAAAAGATGCTCAACTTCACTGATCATCAGGTAAATAAAAATTAAAACTACAATGAGATATCACCTCACACCTGTCAGAATAGCAAAAATAAAAAAACACAAGAATCAACAGGTTGTTGGTGAGGATGTGGATAAAGGGGACCCCTCTTGCACTGTTGGGGGGAATGAAAACTGTTGCAGCCACTCTGGAAAACAGGTCCTCAAAAAGTTGAAAAGAGAACTACCCTGATCCAGCAATTGCACTACTAGGTCTTTACTCAAAGAATACAAAAATACTAATTGAAACGGATTCATGTACCCCGATGTTTATAGTAGCATTATCTACAATAGCCAAATTAGGAAACTGCCCAATTTTTCATTGAATGATGAATAGATAAAGAAGATGTGGTGTAAATATACAATGGAATATTACTCAGCCATCAAAAATGAAATCTTGGCTTTTGCAATGACATGGATGGAAGTAGAGAATATTATGTTAAGTGAAATGAGTCAGTCAGAGAAACACAAATACCATATGATCTCACTCATATGTGGAATTTAAGAAACAAAACAAATGAACAAAGAGAGAAAAAAGAGAGGGAGGCAAACCAAGAAACAAACTCTTGAGAACAAACTAATGGTTACCAGAGAGAGGAAAGGCAGGTGGGGCATGGGGCATAGGCGAAGGGGATTGAAGAGTGCACTTGAGATGAGCACTGGATGAAGTGTTGAATCACTATATTGTACACCTGAAACTAATATTACGTAGTATGTTAATTAAAAACTTAAAGAATCAGCTTCTCAATGTTTTGCTGGGATTTTTGTTTGGGAATTCATTCACTCTATAGACAAATTTGGGGAAAATTCACATCTTGGGGCACCTGGGTATCTCAATTAAGTGTCTGCCTTCAGCTCAGGTCATGATCTCAGGGTCCTAGGAGTCCTGCCTGTATCGGGCTCCCAGCTCAGGGAGCAGTCTGCTTCTTTCTCTTCCTCTGCCCATTTCTCCCTCCCTTCCCCCTGCTCATGCTCTCTCTCTCTCTCAAATAAATAAATAAAAATATTTTTTAAATTTTACCAATCTATCACTACAGCAGATCTCTCCATTATTTGTCTTCTTTCATTACTTACAGTAATGTTTTGTAATTTTCAGTTTTACGTATCCTCAGTTTTACATGTCTTACGCAGCTTTTGTTAAATTTATCCATATTTAAGGTTTTTATGCTATTATAAACAATGCTGCTTTTTTTATTTTTTAAAGATTTTATTTATTTATTTATTTATTTATTATTATTTATTTATTTATTTATTTATTTATTTATGTTGAGAGAGAGAGAGG